GGGGGGATTCAGCGCAAAATTTATGAGGAGAGAAGGAAAGGGTCAATACACTAGAACTAGCATGCAGGATGATCTTGGAGGAAAAGAACGTCATGCACATTGCAATTTGAAAGAGACTTTATGTTGTAATTTAGAAACTGAGTTTGAAGACATGAAATACCTCAAATTTTCGTCTACTTGTTTGTCTCTAATCAGTATAGCGACGTCTTCAATGCCATTGCAAGCCTCGAAATCCTAGAACATCACCGGTCAATGTGGATAAAATCATGGGCTTATTTACTAAAGGAAGGAACCAATAACATAAAGTACACATCATGTGACGCTAAAATAGATATGGAACTGCTTAATTTCTTGAACTAAACCTATTTATTTAAAACCAGATTTATCTTTTATCTTGCATCCTTCAGTTAAATGAGGAACATATCTAGATGCAGTCACTTAGTAAATACCTTTTTGGATGATTTCATCAATAACTGAATATAGGAAATATTTACTACCAATCTCCTTCCAAATGAATACTACAGGAAAATAGAACTGTTCTATATCACTTCTGTCAAAAGTAAGTCAAAAGAAAAGATATCTACCGCCTGATTGGCAGATGAATCCAGCATTATAGCAATCAAAGCATCCAAGCATGCACCTTGTCCCAGTACTCCTCGGATTGATAGTATGTTCATCAAAACCTGCTTTTTTTAATTATGAAGTAAGGGTGTTTTCATTAATAAGGCATCAAGCATATGCAAATAAGTAGAAAAGATGTGCAAAAGTTAGCTGCTCCAAAACATGAGTACAAAAAACCTATGCTATGACCAGGGAGCTAACAAAATCCAAAAAGTCATCAGGACTATTAGCAGGGGTTAGATTGTTCCAGGAAAAAAGACTAACTAAACATCTAGTTTTGCCGGTGAACATAGGAGTTGAGATTCCATCAAAACCTGCTTATTTCCAACAAGTTAAACCTATTATCATCTTGAAGTGCCTATTTTCATGAAACCATAAACTTTGAGCGCGTAAATGATCTCCAAAGGTAATGAAAACAGAAAGCTAGACCTCTTTTCCAACTATACAAAAGGTAGCTACATAATTGACATGGCAAGCAGAAAATTTCAGAATCATTTGAAGATTATAGTTTGCAATTTTCTGAGCCATGACTAAAAGGAGAAAGTCATCACATCTAATTCTCTGAGAAGACATAATAAAATAGGGAAATTTACCGGGATTGCCTTGTGTTGATGGGCCAAAACATTACTCTCGCGATGAAGCAGACAACAACCTTCCAGAACTCTAAGCGCTAGGGCAACTTCAGAATCAGTTGAAGGACTGGTTATTTCCATAGGTTCCACAGTAAATATGTGGTCTAGACTGGTTACACTCTGGTCCTCTATATCTCTCAAGGAATGTTTGAAAAGAACTGGAACCACTGTTGCATATGTCATGGTTAATAGCCTGGTCCATTTTCCAAATTAAACAAAGTAATATCGAAGTACAAATTTTTATTATCCCTGTATACACCAGCATCAAAATAATGATAATAAGAACTATACTACTGATGTCTGAAAGTTTCAATCATTTAGTAGAAACTGGATGATTTACCCCTAAAATCACAGAATAAACATCAATGCAGAATATAAATGTACATAAAAGGCAGCGGCGTCACTGCCCCTAAAATTCCAAGATTAATAAGTTGTTGCTGCATTTCACAAGTAGTGTGGCTTCATCTGTGTTCATCTGAAGTTTCACTCTTTTTGACTGTGAACAAGTCAGAAAAGACAACATCGTTTGACTTGCTTTCACTGGAAATTAAACTGTAAATATACAGGCTAGCTTGACATGCAAATACCGATTTTAACATAAAAGAGAAAAAGAATTTCATAATAATAAACCATTACTCCTTCTAATTCCTATTATACTTCAGAACATATTGTACATTCCACGAGTCAATCAGAAACTGATAATCACAGTTCACCAAGTTATAAGTTTAAATACTTACACCTAAATTCTCATCAATACTGAACTAGCATTTCAACTCAAGAAGATATCAAACACTCTTTTGTAACCTGCTGATACAGTAGTGCAAACAATCTTACAAAAAGATTGAAGCTAAAACGAACTGATTATGACGATAATACCGTCTGAAAGCTTTAGATTTGACACAAAACATTGTCGTAAGAAAATGAAATTCAGCTTAAATTTAATGAATTTTGACAATCTTCTAATAAAGCTGACACAAAATGTACCCGAGCTGCCCCAAACCGAAGCCATATACAATTCCACGAGGCCTCATCTGAGGTATAAATGGTTTTCAAACTAGCAAAACTTTTTTTTTCCTAAACTCCTTGTAGCACGTTTGACAGAAGATGAACCTCAATTTCATTTTCCCTATTTCCGATTTATGTAATTATCACAATTTCCACATTCTCAGCGGCCCTGAGGTCGATTGATATAACCAACTTCCACGTCAACATTCAGTTATATTTCCATAAATTGCACGACTGAACATTAAATAAAACGAAAAATCATTAATGGCAGAAACCCTAGGGCGGTAGAGAATGGAGGAAAACCTTGAAGATCGGGAATGGATTGGCTGTGACAGAAGAGGTTGATGGTAGTGTCGGACTCGGCAACGGATCGGAGAAACTTGAGGATGACGCGGAGGCCACGAATGCGGAGGAAGGAGAACTCGGCACGTGCATCACTGAGTCCTGTGCGCAGTGCGAGTGTCACCTCCCTGTATACTCTTTGCCTTTCAAGCGAGCTGATTAGCTCCGCCACTGCTGACGGCGGCGAATCCGCCTGAGATTCGGAGTTCGAATCTTTGCTCCAAAACGGTGCTTTCAGATACATCCCTTCGCTCCTTCTGTTTTAGCCGTCTTCCAGCTCTGCGTTCAAGGATATAAATTGAATTTTCGCCGTCTCTTTTCTCGTTTTTTCCCCTTTCTGCAGAATGATTATTCTAACTATACAAATAAAAGCGTCATAATTATTACTAATGTTATGTAATGTATGGGATCGTATTGTTACTTTAAATATAATATTTATTTTAAATATTATTTAAATTTTATTATATTGTATTGTCAATTCGTCGTTACGTAATAACAAAATATATAACTTTATTTAACAACGAATTTAGTGTGGTGGCGTCATTACCTTACCTTTTCATCTCATATTGCCTTTTTTATTATTAAATAATAATATTTTATCATTTGTCCTACTTTTTATATAATAATTCTACTCCGTATTTTATTTTTTTTAGTAATGTTAAAAGCTTATTCTTTATATTATTGGTGTGTGACATCATGAAACGACGGTAAACGATACAATCTATCCAAACTTGTATTCATCAAACAATACAATACAATATAATACAATGTAATACACTCATGGGTGGACCCACGTGGAGATGTGAGGGGTCACTGGCACCCTATAAGCTCGGAAAAAACCATGTAAGTATTACTGTATATATTAGGGTTGGGCATATATCGGGTATAACCGATAGCCCGAACCGATAAAATGCTAATGGGTTATCGATATCGAGCTATTGGATAAATAGTTCGATAATAGTTTAATGTTATTTGACTATTGGGTTATCGGTTTGCCAATTTTATTAACGGTTTAACCGATAGCCCAATAAGCTTTAACAAAATTATAATTTTACCCACTAAGTATATAAAGCCACCTTATGGCTTCATTCTGTCATTCTCTTAATTTTCTCATTCTTTTGACAGTTACTCTTCATCTTCAGACATTAATCCTTAGAGTGAGTTTTAAACTTTTCTGAATTCTCATCTTAATTCTTCACTTAAGATTTTTAGTTTTAAACTTTAAAGAATCTATAGTATTTGCAAGATTAGGATTTTAAATTTTCCTATGAATTATGCCCACCCGCAGTGAGATAGTTAGTAAGATTAGATTATTGAATGTCTTATTCCTTACTCCTAGTAAATTATAACTTTGAAAATTGAGATCATTCATTGGGATTTTTAAATGCAAAAAAAGTTTTCTTTTCTAAAGTTCAAATTTAATCCCTTTTTCTTAAGAGCGAAAATTCAGTTCCTTTCTCTTAACAGTATGATCACAATTTGTTTAATAAAAATATGAAAATTTTGGACATTTTTTATTCTTATTGGGTAAACCGATAACCGAACCCATAAGGATTGATAATCGTCTAACCGATAACCGATATCTTATCGGTTCGGTTATCGATTTAGCATATTTATAAACCGATAACCAATATGCTGAACCGATAACATTCACAATTGAACCGAATCGACCGACGCCCACCCCCAGTATATACGTCGAGGACCCCTAAAATAATTTAATTGTGCCCCCAAAAGAACAAATCACCCCCATGGTTGCACCGGTTCAGCAGACTGTTTAAGTTTTATTCCCTAGTCTCTAGACTTTAGAAAGTTAATAAAGAGAGATATAAATATTGATTAAAGACAATAGGAAATGAGGATAAAATATTTCATTAACTAGTTCCATTAGTAAATAATCCTTATCTCTAACCAATTTTTATTATTATTTCATTTAGAAAAAATAAAGGCAACCAAAACCTTCTCCTTTCAACAATTGCTTTGGCAAAGTAGCAAGTATCCATCGACTCTGCGACGACGATTGAGACTTTTTGGGCTACTTACAGTACTTTATTAGTCTTGCTTTTGTCTAAACTTTTTTATATTTTTGAACATTCTTTCGGCCACGAACTCGTAATCACTATGTTTTCAAAGAATTGCACGCCAAACTTTATTGCAACTAATATTATTTTCATATTTACGTTAACGATAATGATGCTCCGCAGCGTTTAAATTCTGGGTCCGCCTCTGAATACAATACGATACATTATGAAACAACATGTAACAACCATCCAAACAAGTTGTTATGTAATACTTCTTATTGACGACAAAAACAGAAATATTTACACTAATCATAAGACTTTGATGATATCTAGTAGGGATGTACAAAGGAAACCGACAAACCGTACCAAACTTCTTGAGTAACACCTTATATAGTTGTATCCTACTTAGTACTTTTGAATTATGCTCATTTTTATTATGGCTTATTAATTAGCAATATTTATTTCTATGCGATTTTATTATCTTTATTGTTGAATATTTTAGTTTAATGTCATGACTAATCTCACATTATTTTGTGTTATTTTCTTGGATAATACCTTATACATTTATATCCTACTAAGACTAAAAAAATATTTGGAGCACACATTATATGTTTTGTGCTATGAAGACTGTACCAGGAAATAACTCGAAAACCTCCAAAAAATCGAGATTGAAAAGTCTGACTTTTGTTTGTTGATTTAGATTATAGATTTAAAAATCCGACACAATTGGTTTAATAATTGAAAAACTCAAACCAACCCGATCTATGTACACCTCTAATATCTAGTATAGAAAAATATTTCTGGTTGTTTTGAATATACTTCCGTAAAACACCATTTATAGTCTAATTTAGATCCTAAAATAGAGCTTAGCAACATAATATTTTATGACATTAGACGTAATGTATACAACTTGTCTCTTGTCTGAAGGACTTAGCAACATAATGCAAGCAAGCTTTCTTTAAAATAACACCTAAAATTTTGATGACATAAGATGTACTTTGCAATAGGGGTATATACATAGGTCGGGTTGGTTCGAATTTTTTAATTATCAAATCAAATTAATGATGTCGGATTTTTAAATCTATAAACCAAATCAAACAAACAAAGTCGGGGTTTCAATCTCGGTTTTTCTCGGATTTTTCGATTTTATTCGGTAAAGTCTTTATAGCACAAAATATATAGCTTGTGCTCTCTATATTTTTTTAGTCCTAATAACATACAACTATATGATTTATTTTTCAAGAAAATAACACAATAATATGAGATAAGTCATATCATTATAGTAAAATATTCAATAACAAAAATAATAAAATTACATAAAGCAAATATTGCTAGTTAATAAGCCATAATAAAAATTAACATAATCTAAAAATACTATATAGGCCATGCTAAAATAAGTATAGCTAATAAGTACTATTAATTACATACCCAAGCACTAAAAGATAAACTAAGTTATGCATTTTCAGTATAAAGCAATGTAAAACTAAAAAATAGATATCCAACACTATCGTCATTCCTAGTGTTGAATTGAATTTCTTTTATTAGCATTAGTATTGATTTGAACTTTGTTTGAGTTACTACATTTATGGGTTATAAATTTTATTTACCATTCAAGAATGTTAAGTTCAAACTTGAAATAATACGTTAAAAAATAAAACTGTGAAAAAGTTTAAAAAATATTTATAAATTATATACAATAAATATTTATATGTATAAAATATTTCTAAAGATTATATAAATATATTATCGGGTTGGTTTGGTTTCGATTTGACTTTTTTTTGTTAAAACCAAACCAATGATGATCGATTTTTTTTTTTCGATTTGACTCGGGTTATCTTTTTTGTGCAGTTTATCGGTTATTTTTGTACACCCCTACTTCACAACACGATGCAACTTTCTTCAATTTTTTATTAATCTATTTAGGTATTAATCATAATAATTCTTTTTTTTACTATTAAAACTTTGAGGTTTGTGCTGCACAACTGAGAGTTCTAGGGCTCCAAAATTAAACAATCATCAGGGCTCAATCTCAAGCATACAAATTGGCCTTTTGGTGCCTCTAACCGCTTGACCAAAAATGTAGAATTTTCAAAACAAAAAAAAATCAAATATAATGTATATATAGAAGTTTCTAAGTTTGTTTCCATAATTGTTCAGATTTCCTTACATACATAGTTCAAGAATCGAATCCAATACAGTACAAAGCAAATCTCCTTGCCGCGTATAGGGAACGGCCCAACCAGTTTGTTTAAAACTCCTTATTTTCTATGGAAAACTAAATCCACATATATATACAAACCTACATTAATGAAGCCTTCCCCCTAGAAGAAAGTTTTCAATGGATGAAAACGACTGGGATTTGTGGGCAATTGTGAGAAGTTGCTCCAACGTCAACAGAGCTATTCCTGATGATGATGTGAGAAGTTGCTACAACGTTAATACCACTGCTCTTATCGATCACAGCGTTGATCAGGACACTAGCCATGGTAATTCTGCTACTAACACAAAAACACCAACTTTTTTTCCAGAACAAAGTGATTGTTTTGGTGATTTTAGTGATCTGTTCGCCGCAGAGAACGAGCATTGTTTTGGGTTAGATGAAGTTTGTTGCCTTTCCAAGAATGTGAATACCAATTCTAGAATTGTACCTCACAACACAGAAAACAAAACTGAAACTATTCCGAACACACCACTTGTTGTAGAACATGAGGAGAAGAAGAACAAGAAGGCAAGATGTTCAATGCAACTATCAAGAATTGAAGAAGGCAAGGCGTTTTCTTATCGTGGGAAGAGCACAGAAAGATATGAAATATTGACTGATAAATTGAGTGAGGCGGATCAATGGAGATGGAGAAAGTATGGAATGAAGCGAACGGGTGGTTCACCTTTTCTCAAGAGCTACTATAGGTGTAATGAAGTTGAAAATTGTCCGGCAAGAAGACACGTTCAGCAAAGCTCAACGGACGCAAACAAGGTGGTTGTAACTTATAGAGGCCAACACATTCATCACCCTCCTAACCAACACATTGCAATGGTACACACAAGCCAAAATGCTAATGCACCAGTGCAGGACCCATCTTTTCCCTCTTCTACTTCTACTTCTACTTCGTTATTCAACTAACCGCCAAGTTTTTGCAAGAGACAGAAAGATTGATTTTGTGCCTTAGTAAGTCAGTCTGGATTGTTTCTAATTTGACTACTGTGCTTTGGTTACACTGAATGACCCTCAATTTTGTATTGCATATTGCAAGGGGGCTGTTGCAACTGAAGTAGGATCTTCTTCTAATCGGAATTTCTAGTGTTATTACTTTCTTATGGTAATTAAGCTTTTTCCTTGACATCTCTATGATTTTTTCTAGAATCATTAGTATCTCCTTTGTTCCTAGAAGCAGCATGAAGACAAGAGGGGTTGTTCAGATGATCAGCACCCCCACCTACAACCCCAGGGTCGTGGGTTCAAGTCACCAAAAGAGCAAATAGCTCCAACAAAGGGGATCAAAGGGGAGCGGAATTAAAAAAATAAAATAAAAAATAGAAGCATGAACATGTTAGAATGTCCCACATTGGTTCGGGGAACGGGTTGTTGTCTACCAATATGGTTTTGGGAAACCCTGTCTCATGAACTAACTTTTAGAGTTGAATTAGGCCCAATTCCCATCTTCTTTTTAAGGAACTAGCCATAGCTAAACAGATTCTCAGAAGCAGGTAAGCTGGATCAACTATACAAAACATAAAGGCCAGCCAACCTCTTTGTGTTTTTCTATGATTTAACACATCTTTTCCTTTTAAAGGGAATGAAAAATTCATTAGATCTTTGGTTTACCTATGCTATTTAGTGGATATGAAGAGATGAGTGGAGGTCAACAAACTTGAAGTTGCACTTAAAAAAAAAGAGAAACTCATAGTAATAATGAGCCAAAGCCTTAAACTTCCTCAAACTTCATTCAAGGACAAAAGTCAGCAATCACAAGAAAACCCTCTTAAAGTGTGCTCGGCTATAGGGGCACAAAAGGGTGCAGTCTCCACCACAAGTATACCCTCCTACTTCCTCCTTCCTTATATCTACAACTAACCTCTCACCCGACTTTTAAAGGCTCTGCAGCCAGAGCCAACTCGGTCTTGGATCTACCAGCTTAATGCAGAGTGATTTTACAAAGCCACTGTGCAAGGGTGGGATTACGAGCTTCTAGAAGCTTTGGTAATAAGAAATCTAGATAATCATAGCAAGCCGTCTGGCAGTCTCAACCCTTGGTTTTCTGTGACACCAAGGCTGATGCAGACATAAGCAAAAGCCTAACTTCTTCCCCTAAGGTTGGTTCCACAATCAGCTGTGATTCATTGCAGAATTATCCCACAAAGTATCACAGCCTCGTCAGAGAACTCTATATATTGTTCGAAGAAAATCAGGAATATGGATAACTTAGAAAAAGAAGTATAGACATTTGTTAAGTAACAGAATTGCGTATCAATGAATTATACTATGAAATAAGAGATGGTGGAAATATTCAATTGAGCATCTGCAATTTTTTCAGTTTGACAAGTTCTGTACACGGATTTATATAGATAGGATGAACATTACTTACATTAAGTACTAAGATAAAGAATCAATAATGAATTGGTGCTGGGCTACCAATTCTCTTTAACGATTTTAGATTTCTCAAGTATGAATTTCCCTTCCTTGTACTTCTGTGTTTGCTCATAAGCTCGTTCATATTTCCAGCCCAAAACCTCATTGCAATCCCCACAGTATACATCAGCAACAGTATGAAGACCAGTCAAGAGATGTCTGTCTTCTTTAGGTCCAACATTAATATTCATCACATGAGTAAACAGAAAAGCTCTGCCATTTCTTCCCTGAAAAGCAATATTTCTTTTCTTTGGACGATTCTCAGAAACAAGATGACCGCAAGTAAAACTAACTATTTTAAAATTATCTGACTCTTGAAGCGCAAAAGAGAATTAGTCCTTCCTTCTCATTATCAGATTAACGATTATGATTTGACTACTTCTTGGACTAAAAGAAAATAATAATCATTATTCATTACATCCCATGAAAGCTGAAGTCAAGACGTGGTCAAAAGCATCAATAAGAGTGAGCTAATTTCACCTTATTTTTCTTCGTTTCTCATTTGGTTTTTCCTTAACTACGAGTGAAAGTCATCCTTTACTTTGAATTCAAGACAAATGAGGGATTTAGTTAATAAAATTCATCTGAAAACACTGATCTCAAATTGATGACAATTGGGAACTAGTACTGAGTAATAAGAGATCAGCACCTCTACTCATTCCGATCAGAGCCATTGCAAGTATAACAAATAATTTTGATGTTTGCGTGAAAATAATATTATAGCGACTTCAACCACCATAAATCATGTTTCAAGAATCATCCATTCACAAAACAGTAACAGAAAAGTACAGTATTTAGACATGAGAATAACTACAAGTTAATAAAGCACATATGGAATTAATTACCTGAAACGCCTTAGAGACTATATCATCATGAAGAGAAACATGATTGCGACATTTATAGCAGCTGTACAAGCGAGGTCCGACCAATTCATCCATTCAACAAAAATCCAATGATAATTCCCTCACCGATCACCTACCCCAGAAACCCAAATGACCAAATCCTACAGGTAAAAGTTATACAGCGGAAACTCAACAAAGGTAAGAACTTTAACTAGTGGAGCAAAAGCTAAAGCATAATCCAATCAATCTGCAGAGAGAAAGTAAAGAATTAAAAACAAAAAAAATTACCTTAGAAGAAAATGCAGACGACCCAGAATTCTGCTCTAAAGGAAAATAACAACCCCGGATAGGTTTAACTTGCACAGCCGTGATAATAATTTTTATACGGAATTGGGTGAAAATACCAATCACGAAACTTGGAAAAAAAATTAAGCTGCTTTGACAAAGACAGGATTACTTTTCATCAATTAACAATACATACAAATTACAATTCAAAATAAAATATTAGTCAAGTAAAGAAAGCTATCCTACGAATTACAGCAATACAATATGTAGGTCGTAGGATATGACAAGAATCTGAGCTGTAAAACCCAATTCAAAACCATCACTGAGGACAGTTATGTTTGTTAAGAAAAATCAGAAATGGAAAGAAAATGAGTAAAGGCTTTTTATTCTTTGCTTGGACTCACCTACCAATATGAAAATCAGATACGGATAAAGATAATAAAACAAATATATGGTACTATTTTAATGCTGTTGAATATTATACTAACCTGTTCAGTGCGCACTCATTTTCATACTTGCCATTCTTTATTAGAATTAAAGGGTGAGTTAATTAAGAGGATATGCTCCTGGTTTTGAGTTGATTTTGTTGGAAGAGGGAGAGTTCACTGTTGTACACAGCAGTTTAGTCGTATCGTGGCAGCCCTGCCGCCCTTTGATTTTGGGTCGAATCTTTATTGGGCCGAACATTTATTTGATGGGTATGACTCATGAAAAAGCCCAACAATGGTCCCATTCAAGTAGCTCTGAGTCTCGACTGATGGCTTTTTCTTTCTACTAGTATTAGAACCCGCGCGATGTGCGAATATTATCAAATAATATTAGTCATATTAGAGTATAATTTGATATATTTGAGCACGTTAGAAGATTATGCGTTTTAACTAAATCATAATTATCGTCTTATCTATTCAATAATAAAAGTTCAATGTTATTAAATTAAATGAATCATATAATTATGGAATAACTTTTGAATGTTACTCAAATATCGTAATTATATAGGTTGCACTACAAATAATATGAAAATATAGCATGATCCAAAACGAATAAAAAAAATTCTTTATTTACTAATTATCTAGCTTCATTTGTTATTTGCCCTTCATCGTCATTACAATCTTTAATCTCTTCTTACTTGTAGCTCGTGATGAAAATTATAAAGCGGTTCATTTGTAAATACATGTTTACTTAGAAATAGTCACATATGAGATTATAATCATCTTGACTTATAATGATGATAAAAAAATAAAGTGGTAGATAATTACTATACATATTTTTATTAAAAAAATTATATTTCAATCAAATTCAAAAACTATATCAATAGATTCAAAAACTTATCCTTCAATTCAAATTAATTTTTATTACATAACCTAATAGATAATGTCTTAAAAATGCACGGTGGCTTTCTATTAGCTTATGTTTTTATTTTATTAGGTTACTGTCACTACCCAAATTCTCTATAGGCCATGATGGCACCCAACGTCGCCGTCAGGCAAGCCAACGGTGAACTAACCATGTGTTTATTCTTTTAACATTTTAGAAATTATTGATTTTTAATTATTAAATAAGTAAGAGGTGAGAAATTTAGTAAAATGAAGCGCAAACAATTATAAGTACAAACGTGGTGAAGTAAATACTCAAAATCATCAAGTGTCTACTAGTAAAATTCCAAGACCTGGTGTCACAAGTATATGAGCTACTAGTAGAATATACAAAACACTAAACTAATGTCTGAATAGAGTAGACAGAAAATAAAAGCAAAAGAGAGACTCTAGGTGCTGCAAGATGTACTCGGAAGGCAATTCACCACGAAGTCTCGAAGTATCAGGGATGTGTGCCGGGATAACTACTAGATGCACCTGCCTCAGAACCTGCATGATTAGTGCAGAAGTGTAGCGTGAGTACATAAATAACATGTACCCACTAAGTATCTAGTCTAACCTCGAAGAAGTAGTGACGAGGGGTCGACATCGATACTTACTATGGGCCAACAATAAAAAAATACAAAAGTTCTAAATAAGCATGGATCATATAAATAATAAATACAACTCAGTAACAAGCAGTGAATAATAATTTTTTCACTAATAATAAATTCCAAGTCAATTTATGTCATTAAGTAATTATAACTGCTCAAGCCATAAAATAATATCAAATATAATTGGGCTCTGGGTATTATCACGCACGATTTATGCCGAGGTCGTACGGCCCGATCCAGAAAATATACCGTGTGCACTGCCAAAGGTCGAACGACACAAACCATAGATGCATCTATTAACCTGCCGAGGTGAACAACCCGCTCCCATAAGAGTAGATGAAATTTACCTCGCTCGCGAAAATACTTGCGACGCGATTGAATATGGATTTATCAGAGTTATTATAAAATTCTTCAATTCTTCCCAAACATAAGAAATCCAAGTTCGAGACTTTAAATCTTAAAATCCTTAATCTCAGCTCTATTTAAGACAACTAATATGCATAATCAACATAACAGTGCAACCAAAGCTTGATGTAAATCTAAGACTACCTGGACATCACATGGAATTTAGCTACGCACGGACTCTCGTCACCTAGTGTGTACGTGACTCCCCACACAAGTAATTCACAATAAATACACCTAAGGGGATGAGTTCTCTCTTACAAGGTTAGGCAAGAGACTTACATCGTTCTCAAGCTCACTTCCGATCCACAAATATGCCCTAAATCCTCAATTCGGTGCCAAACGACCCAAAACTAGTCAAATGTTATATAAATTAATCAATATGTATTCAAAAGTTCATAATTTAACTATTAGAATAATTATCCAACCTAAATTGGAAGATTCCAAAAATTCACCACCGGGCTCACGTGCCCGGATTCCTAAAATATTTCAAGATGATGTTACCCATAACCTCATGAACTCAAATATATAATTTTTACCCAATTCCATAACCATTTTCGTGGTTAAATCCCATTTTTATCAAAACCTAGGATTTTTCATCTAAACCCATAATTTTCACAATTTTACATATTAAAATCTACCCATAATCTATGTATTTAACTTACATTGGATAGAAATTACTTACCTCCAATAGCTAGGTGAAAACCCCTCTCTAAGGAGCTCCAAAATCGCCCAACAAGTGAGAGAAATGGACCAAAATGACCTAAGTCCCGTAATAAATAAACCTTTCTGTCTCCAGGTCTTCCGCTTCTATGGCTCTATGCCCACCTCTGTGGAAAAAGCCTCGTAGATGCAGCTCCCCCTTTGATGGCCTCTTCCGCATCTGCAGACCTCAAGCCCGCTTTTGCAGGACCGCTGTTGCGACGCGTGTGCCGCACCTGCGGCTTTGGCCGCTTCTGCGGTAGCTTCCTTCACACCTACGCGTTCGCAGGTGCGCACCCTCACCAACATCTGCGGTTTCTGGCTCGCTTCTGCTAGCTCGCACCTGCGGCTGGCCCTCTGCAGGTGCGATTGCACTAGAAGCTGGATGCTTCAGCTGTTCATCCAAGGCCAAACGACTTCCGCGCATCCCCCGAATGGCATCCGGGGCCCCGTCCAAACATACCGACAAGTTTGTAAACATAGAACGAACTCGCTCGCACAATCGGAACGCGGAAAACAACATTAAAACTAAGAATCGCGACCAAAACCAATGAGATCAACTTATGAACTTCAATTTCTTCCAACTTACTCTAAACCAAATTTAAAGAACTTTAAAACCTTCAACGCACCAACTTTCAACTTTATGCGCCGAAACGCTCCCGGGTCATCTAAAACCCGATCCGAACATACGCTCAAGTCCAAAATCATCATACGAATCTATTGGGACCGTTAAATCCCTGTTCCGGGGTCGTTTACTAGAAATGTTGACCTAAGTCAAATTTAACCCTTTAAAGCCAATATTAAGGAACTAAGTGTTCTGATTTCAACCCGAACCTTTCCAAATCCTGAACTAACCATCCCCACAAGTCATAAAACAGTAAAAGCACATACGTAGAGTCTTATTTAGGAGAACGGAGATTTAGAAAGCAAAACAACCGGTTGGGTCATTATATTCTCCACCTCTTAAACAAACGTTCATCCTCGAACGGGTCTAGAATCATACCTAGAGTGCTGAATAGGTATGGATATCTACTCCGCATATCCTCATCGGCCTCCCAAGTCGCCTCCTCGATTGGTTGGCCCCTTTACTGAACTTTTACCGCATAAATATTGTTGGACCTCAAGTGGAAAACATGCCTTCCAACAATGGCAACTAGCTCCTCCTCGTAACCTAGGCTCTCATCTAGCTGAACTGTGCTGAAGTCTAACACATGCGACCTGTCGGCATGATACCTCCGGAGTATAGACACGTGAAAACAGGATGAACTCCCGATAGACTGGGAGGCAAAGCAAGCTCATAAGCAACCTCTTCAACTCGTCTCAACACCTCAAATGGACCTATAAACCTTGGGCTCAACTTGCCCTTCTTTCCGTACCTCATGATTCCCTTCATCGGCGAGACCTTCAAGAGAACCTTCTCGCCCACAATAAATGATAAATCACGCATCTTCTGATCTACATAACGCTTATGTCTGGATTGTGTTGTGTGAAGTCGCTCCTAAATCAACTTTACCTTTTTCAAGGCATCCTTTACCAAATCAGTACCATATAACTTAGACTCGCCGGGCTCAAACCATTCGATGGGGGAACGACATCGCCGACCATATAATGCTTCAAATTGAGCCATCTCGATGCTGGACTGATAATTGTTGTTGTAAGCAAACTCGGCCAAAGGCAAGAATCAATCCCACTTCCATCCGAAGTCAATCATACATGCCCTAAGCATATCTTCCAAGATATGAACCGTCCGCTCCGACTGCCCGTCGGTGTGTAGGTGAAAGGCCGCGCTGAGCTCTACCCAGGTCCCCAACTCACTCTGTACTGCCTTCCAGAAATACGAAGTAAACTGAGGGCCTCTATCCGATATGATGGAAACAAGCACTCCATGCAACCGAACAATCTCCTGAATGTAAATCTGAGCCAACCTCTCTGAAGAATACGTGTTCACTACCGGAATAAAGTGTGCTGACTTGGTCGACCTGTCAACGATGACCCAAACTTCATCAAACTTCCACAAGCTTCGCGGCAACCCAACTACAAAATCCATAGTAATGCGCTCCCATTTCCACTCAGGTATAACTATCTGCTGGAGTAGGCCACCTACCCTCTGGTGCTCGTACTTAACCTGTTGGCAATTAAGGCACCTTGCTACATACTCAACTATGTCATTCTTCATCTTCCGCCACCAACAATACTGCCTCAGGTCGCGATACATCTTCGTAGCATCTGGATTAATAGAATATCGAGAACTGCGTGCCTCCTCTAGGATCTTCTCCCTCAAGCCATCAACATTAGGAACACATAGGCGACCCTGGAGTCGCAGAACACCATCCTCACCGATAGTAACCTCCTTGGAACCACCCTGCAGTACTGTCTCTCTGAGGACCAACAAGTGT